TTGACGATTGAGTTGAGTGAGTGCTTGACTGTGTTGGTATATATGTTTGAGTGCCTTTGGATGTGTGTGTGCGTGTATTAAAAAGAATCGCCTGAGCGAATATAGATTTTACCAACCAGGAAACAGAAACTTCAGTTTTAAGAATATTGCCACTTTAGTCGCGACATTTTGAGAGCTTTGTATTTAAATAGGGTAAGAAAACTTTATTAGTTGTAAGAAAATTTTAGTGAAAAATTCAAGAAATTAAATAACTGAAACTCCTTTCGATCATAATGAAGATTTTTCATTCGAAAATTTCAGTAGTTTTTGCTCTTCTACTATATATTTCCTAAAGTGAGTATAAACCCTTCCGCTCTCAAATTGTAAATGTGAGAATTTGTTTGAATTCATCTCTGTGACTCAATTTTAGCTGTGCGACTTAGCCAAGCTCATAAGGATCGAATGAGGATTCAACATTAAAGGAATTTCCAAAGGTCAGTCCGTACATTAAACTGTGAGTGACATCAAATCTGCGACTAAACAAGTGAAATGCTTTGTAAGAGCTTAACTTTCTAGAAGTGATCACTCTTCGCTGGTTTTCTATGGGATCAGTTTTTACCTGGCGTGTCACTATACAAATGCGTAATCATATTATTTACTTTAAGACCGATGTATACCAGCAACGGCATCACTGGTGAACAGACACTGCGATTAGAGTTCAGCTAATCCTCGAGCTACATATGCCAACCAACCCTTGAACTGCTTATGCAACTAATAAAATTTTCCACTCTTTCCTACAACAGAAGCACGGCACCACACGAGGACTCCCCAAGAAATGCTCTACCTATTTAAGACAGCATTTTAGATTACATCTATCAAAGCAAGGAATGTATAAGACATTGAAACGTTTGCAATAAGATTTTGTCAAGAAACAGCCTCAAGTGGTCTTTGAAGAGACCGAAGTCTCCAAATTTTCACAGCTATTTCTGAAAAACGCGCAATCCCTAATCGCCAGTTGGATTACTAGTACTCTTTTCTTTATCAGTATATAATAAGAAGCACGATTGTAGATAACAGGTCGGAACAAGGATCTCTTTTCTCTACTATAAAAAGGTAATCGGCTTTAAAAACTCATTTTTCCTTCTGGACAGAAGTTGTTAGAGAAGAAGTCTATTTTTCTATTATGAGTCCCCATCGAACAGTCACCGACAATTACGACGGTTGTTAAGTTCGCGGAGCTTTTGTTCAGAAGTTGTAGGGATTTTGTTATTTTTGTATCGATCAATGGGTAGATATGCCTGGTAATATTGCAAGTGTTTGCACCCTGTCATCTGCTATTGGTCTTGCTGGTAGCGGCTGTTATTAGCAGATATCTTGCAGAGGAAAATGGTTTGCCAGCATCGTGGGAGAGTTTACCGCACTTAGGACTGTATCCTTTTTTACCAATTTATCAGCCTCGCAATTTCTTGGGATAACACTAAGTCCGGGGACCCAAACTATGGTCGTTTCTCATATAGCCGGGTGTTTGTTTAAGATTTCCCTAAATCATATATCTTCCATTACGGCGGTGTTTATACAATGAAGAGATTTAATGGCTGCAAGAATATATTATATTATGATAGATTGACATACTGTATTGGAGTTACTTAACCATAAAGTGGCTTCCAGTATTGAGCTTAGTTCAGTGTGACAGACGCTGAAGTGGTTGGGAAGTCTCTTGTTCATGTCGATTGCAAGCAGTTCCGAGTAAATTCCACAGCCCAACCCGCCATTTAGTTTTGAGCCGCCTGTGTAGGTGGATACGGGCCGTTGATCTAGAACTTTACCCAGCAACTATTGCCGCTTTATAGGTAGCCGCGTTTCGATTCCAGTTGATCTTACTATATGAGATTGAGATGAGATTATACCAAGGTATTTGATCTCTTTAAAAAGGGTTGTCTCGATACCTTTTACTGTTGGTGTTTGAGAGTAGACATTTTATGCCTTTTGACCTTTGAGGTATTCACATTCAGACCACAGTCTCTGCATAAATTGCTTACTGTACCAAGGGAATTTTTGAGTAGTTCACTTAAGACTTGGGGGCGCTATTCCAGTCTCTGTAAGGTTGATGTCGTCGGCGTATGTCATCACCTCGCGCCCGGTGTTTCTTCATTTACGAAGCAGAGCATAAACTACGAGGCACCTTGGAATGCCTCTTTCAAATACCTGGTTGCGAATGCGCCTCTTACTTCAGCGAAGTTTATCCTGTTTCCTACGGGAGATTTCACAAGTTTCACTTAGTGCGCTCCTAATCTCATTTCTAGTATGGATTTGTGACCATAACAGGTGCATAGATTTAATTCCCAATCTTATTATTTTATTTTATAAAAAAGCCTACGCTTTACTGTTACTATGACAACCGAAAAAGCACGAGTGCCGAGAAAGCACGATCTCAATCTCTTCCATGAACACTTACAACCCTTAACAAACATTTTATAAACCTCATCTCACTAATAAGTGCAGCTTAAACCTCATCAAAGGATGCCTGAGCAGCTACTTGAAAACAAAAAAAGCCATCAAATAGTTGAAAAGAAGCAATCAAAAAGGAAAGTAGCGAGATGAAGTTGAAAATTATTTAATTTTGTTGCGAAGCTCTTCCTCTACCACACCCGTAGAGTGCCAAGGACGCTCGAGTTTTTCATTTGCATTGTGTGAAAAAATTAAAAAAAAAAATGATTCCAAAGAAATGCAAAAAATCCAAAGGGTCGAGAAAAGAATAAGATTTAATAGCACAAATCGAATAAACAAATAAAAGAACTTCAAATTTTTTTGTTGAATATCTCAAATATTTTAACGATTTCTTTTCTGAATTCTTTTTCTCTACTTTTCAATCAGAAACCAGTTTGCACATTGACAGTTTTGGAATATAAGTGCTTTTTGGCATTTTTCACAGTAAAGTTGGGAGAATAATGTCCTGCGAGAGAGGAGGAGTGGGAATGGACAGAAACAGAGAAGGAATGAGCAGAAGGCTGCAAGGTTTTAAATGCAATAAATAATTTAATCGACTTTCAGGCGCCAACAAAGTGGCAATCAAACAGCTGTTAAAATGTCAGTGTGTGCATCAGCTTAGTGCTGGTATTGCTACATATAAATTTTCAAAAGACCTGCAATGCATCTGAGCATAGAGCCGTTGGCCTTCGATAACACTCTCTGCTGCGCGTTATTATTTGCAACTGTTGCACACTTAGCTGCATTTGTTGTAAAGCTTTGCGTTGGCTCTGTAAAGACTGCTCTTTTCGATCGCAGATTTTTATTGCTTTGCGTGAGCTATAATTCATTTTATATTGAAAAATCGTTAAGGGAAATGGGTTTAAATATTGTTTTGGTTATGACATAAAAATAATGAAATAAATAAAAATTAAGAGAGACAGCATAGGGAAAAGGGATGGGTTATGATACACATACACTACTCACGATAACCATCGTTAATGAATTTATCATTTGCTAAAGAGGTATAATCTCATAAAAACCCTTGTTCTTTATGGGGATAATCCATTTTCACACGATGCTCTAGAAATCGATTTTTCAGCGAATGACAGGAGCAGATGGTAATCACCTGGTCTGAGGTCTGGACCAAAAGTTGATTCCTAAGAACTTCCTAACTAAGCACCTTGAACTTCTGGCGAGTCAATATCGATGCATTGGACCTGGCGTTGTCCCGATGAAAACGATTCCCCCCTGTTGGCCAAAACTGCACGCTTCTATGCGATTATTCCCTTCAGGTGGTGTGCCCCATTAGGCACACACCAAAAACCTTCCTCACCGTCAATCCCGGCTTGGATACCAGCTACTTTTTACTATGCCTAACCAATATTTTTTGTTTCCATATTTTTTATTTCATATTTCTTTTTCATGTTTTTTTGATTCGATATTTTTTGATTCCATAATTTTTGATTTCATATTTTATATTTTGATATTTTTTTATATCATACTCGTATTTATTCGATTTCCTAACTTTTATTTTCATATATTCTGATATCATAATTTCTAATTTCATATATTCTAATGTCATAACTTTTCATTTCATATTTCTTTTTCATGTTTTATGATTGGAAATTTTTTGATTTCACAATTTTTGACTTCTCATTTTTTGTTTTCATATTTTTTGATTTCATAATCTTTGATTTTATATTTCCTGATTTCATAATTTTTTATTCCATTTTTTTTTGATTTTACACTTTTTGATTTCATTTATATTCAAATTTTTTGTTAACATTTTTTTTTCATTTCATATTTATGTTTAATTTTTTTTTATTTCTTTTTTTTCATTTCATATTTTTTGATTTCATATATTCCGATCTAATATTTTTTGATTTCATAATTTTTTATTTCATATTTTTTTGTTTTCATATATAATATGACTATATATTTTTTCATTTTATGATTTTTGATTTCATATTTTCTAACTTCATATGATTCCCTAATTTTAGTTTTCATTATTATGATTTCATAATTTCTAATATCATATTTTTTGATTTCATAATTTTTGATTTCATTTATTTTAATTTTTTTTGATTTCATATTTTTTGATTTGAAATTTTTTTGATTTCATTTATTTTTGTATTTTTTTGATTTCAAAATTTTTGATTTCATTTTGATTTGATATTTTTGGATTTGATATTTTTTGATTTCAGTTTTTATATTTTTTGATTTTATAACTTTTCTTTTCATATATCATTTTCATATTTTTTGATTGGAAATTTTTCGATATCACAATATTTGATTTCTCATTTTTTGTTTCGATTCGATATTTTTTGATTTTATATTTTTCGTTTTCTTATTTGCTGATTTAATAATTTTTGTTTTTTTATATTTTTGCTTTCATATTTTTCAATTTCATATTTTTTCGAATTCATAATTTGTGATTCCATAATTTTTATTGCATTGTTTTTGATTTCATGTTTTTTGATTTAATAATTTTTAATTCCTGTTTAAAAATATGTTATAATTTAATTAGAATCTTTTCTCTTACCACATTTTAGTACGCGATCACTGTCATCGGCAGCGCACTGAAGGCGTTGATGTGAAGGCGCGAAAGAAGCTGATCATTGCCAGTATACTTTGTTTGGTCTTCATGGTTTGCGAGATTATTGGTGAGTAACTGTTTTCTTAAAATTGAAGGTTACATAGTAGCTCATATTTCGGTAATTAATAGTTTAAATTCTATAAGTCGAATTTTTTTATAGCTTGAACTAGCAGTTTCGTCACTCTTTGCCTTACATTTCCGCAAGTATTCTTTTAAATGGAATTTGTTGCTTGATGAAGTTGAAAAGTCCCTTCATTTATGCAAAGGAAAATTATGTTAGTTTTCAATTTACTACCTTTTTCAAACAATATAGTATTATTTTTTCTACGTAACTTTCTAGACTTTTTCAATTTGCACTACATTCTGTTGGGTAGGTAGGTATGAATGAATAAAACTTTTAATAAATTTTGCAAAATGCCAATTAGTGTTGGGCAGAGTTTCGCATATATATTTATACATAGATGTCTTTATATAAATATTAATAGGCATGTAAGAAAATGTTTGAGTTTTGAAACCCTGTAGGAAATTAATTCGCAATTAAAAACAACCAAAATAAATACCAAGTACAGCCATTTCCCTCTCCGCGGATATTGCATTGGTAGACGTCTTTATCGTCATCTGCTTCGACTTTCGCTGTTCCCGAGAAAAACTTGAAAACCTTCAAGACTGGAGTGTTCTTATCTATTCGGCCCACACGACCTAGTCAGCGCAGCCTCCGTTTTTTAATTCGCTGGAATATGTCAGCTATTTGTGAAATCTTTCTTTTGGTGCCCTTTGGCTTCATTTCGGCGAGAGAAAACTTTGCTTTGCTGAAACTTAGTTCGGCATCAAATGGCCAAATTCATACATGGCGGTGTACAGGCACTTCTTTATCCTGCTATCGAAGACTGCTTTGGTAGCGACGAAGTAGCGAAGTGTGTCTTATCAAAGATTGCGTTGCAACATAAGGAGGCAAACCATTTGGAATGTTTCGTCGTCGAGGATGAATTCTTCGGCAGTTGTAATTGTACCGTAGATAAGTTCTTTGCCTACCCTAGTGCTAAAGTCGTCAATCACAATTTTCACTGCATATTGGGGAGGAAGTGGAGAGGGAGGGAGGGATTTGCAATGCTGATGAGTACTCATAAAAGGTATTCATGGTCACATACGTCTCTTCCATTGAAACGTTGGCACAAATCAGCGATATATTTAAAAATGCCACTTTGGTGCCGATTGTGGCGACACGTTCATCCACCGGAGTGAATATCAGTACTCGACGACGGCAACTCTATTCCACCACGAATTTCACATCAAATTTGCGCTTCTTTCTATGGCCCCGTGAAGAACTCCCATGTGATTCACCTTCTTACTTTAGCTCCCATCAAATCGGATATTTGTTGGTTACCCAGAGAATACTCGGCCTCAGAGCGGCAGTTGTGGAAAATACCAGCAGATAGGCAAACTAGACTTTTTATTAAGAACAGAGCACTACTTAGACCTGCTGGCTGCCGAAAGGAGGCAATTCTCGCACCACTTGCCCTTACTTCAGAACACATAATTATTATAGTCGCGCAGGGTTGCCACCTGGTCGGAATCAGTTTGAAGTTTAGTAAAATGTCATGACAAGGGTATTAAATGATTTGTAGTTGAAAATTTGGAAATATTGTAGAATAGGGTTGCCAATTAGTTAAGGTGTTATTTCAGAGAATATTTGCGCAGCGTTGCCACCTAATTGAAATTAATTTGAAGTTTAATAAAATGGCAAGAGTTGAATAATCAAATGAATTGTACTTGAAATCTCAGTATTTGCGAGATATTGTAGAATAGGGTTGCCAACTAGTTTTTATTATTTCAATTGAGTAGTTTAGGTGTTATTTCAGAGAATATATTATACATATTTGAAATTAATTTGAAGTTTAGTAAAATGGCATGATTTGAGTAATCAAATGATTTTGTAATTGAGATATTTGAGAATAGGGTTGCCAGGTAGTGTTCATCATTTTAATTTCGCAGTTTATCAGCTGAAGCGATTTCGATGAAATTTTTATCTGTGTTCTGTTTAGCATTTTAACGTAATTTATTTAGGTGTTACTTCAGTGAATATTAGCGCAGGGTTACCACTTAACTGAAATTAATTTGAAGTTTAATAAAAATAACACAATATGAGCATAAAATACTTCGTAAATGAAATATTACTAATTATTTTAGCGCAGGGTTGCCACCTCGAAGTTTAATAAAATAGCACAAATGGGTATCAAATAATTCGTAGTTGAAATCTAATTAATTTCTAGACAAGACTTTAAGTTAAAATTTTCTTCGTCGCGCAAAACTCGGTCACCCTAGTTATAGACATTTTAAAGAAAAAATTTTAAATTCAAAAGAAGTATTAAATAAAAATGTGGAAAAGTTCTTAAATAAATAAAATTAATGAAATTAGCGAATTAATTTTTCAAAAGAGCCACGTATATTCCTCAGCTATCAACGTTAGCTTTTCGTGATCGTTATACATATAAGTTTCTTAATATTATAATATTATTTTTTCACTACTTTAAACTTATTTTGAACAAAAGTTTTCGAATTCGAACCAAACCTTTATTTTCACCTGTTAAAAACTATCCTTTTTGTAATAAGAAAGTTTTACTTTAACAAAATTCTCAAAAGTTACAGTAAGGCTAAAAAAAACTTAACCAACTCTCCAATGGAACGAAGTCAAAGCATTCAAATGCAAGTATGCTCGCTGGTAGTCTTTGTGAATTCAGACATGCAAGCGTTTGGCAATTAAGCAAAAAATTTCAAACTCATACAAAAATTCATTAAAAATTCACAAGAGCATAGAAACAGAGCAGCAACCTATAGGTAGTTGAAAGGAAATAAGAAGTGTTACTCCAGCTTGCGTGAAGGATGCTGAAGACAATGCATAAAAGATTAAAAAAAAAAAAAATAAGAAATTGTAAAAGTGCAAAATTTGAAATTTAAATTTCAGTAAAAATTGCAGTAAAAAATTTCGCCACATCGAATAAGGCGTCTGCATGTATGCGTAAAGCTGTGCAAAGAGAAGAGAGTTGAGCTGTACATTTAGTAGATAGCTGCTGATTGACACACGGACTGACAGACCGAATTGCTACTGGACACTTGCAGAAGAGAAATACAAATAAATATTTCTTTTTTCGTTGAAGTTTTCAATAAAATGTAAAATGTGTACACATGACGTTCAAAATGTGGCATGCAACAGCAAGTGTTGGAAGTTAAGAGTGGTTAGAAAAGGATATCGTACATTTACAGCTGAATTTAGCATACGAAGAGTTTGTGTTGTAGACTTGGTTTGGCATGCAACATGCTGCTTTAGATTTGTCAATTGTTGCTTGTTTGCTCGCCAGCTGGCATTTTAGTGACTTTCACTGCCGTTGGTATGAGTTGTGGATGCCAGGCGGTTGGTTGTTTGGTTGGTTGACGACTGTTGAGCTTTTCGGTCTGTTGGCCATTTAGATTTTTTGTTTTGTTTTGCCCTATAGATTCCGATTGATATGCAACAAATATACGAAATGCAGTTGCCACATACAACAACAACAATGGTATATGTTTGCACTTCTTGTGTTTTGTATTTTGTGTGCGTTTTTTCTATCTTCTTCTCAGTGCCGCATCAAATTCACATACACATACTCATATGCAATATATGTGTGTGTGTTTGACATGTGACAATTGAAAACTGGACAAAAATGCTGTAGCTGCCGAACAAATGCAAATACACATAAATATCGTTGCTCAGCATGTATATCGTTCTTTCCTACACATACTTCTAAGCACTTTTTATCAGTTCTCTCTTTTATTGGTTGCTATTCGTCATCCTATACCCTCTATGGATAGGAAGCTGTATTTTGACTTAAAATGCTTGTTAGGGCAAAAGCTGCGTACAACAATTTATAACGGTTTACGAAGAGATTTAATACAGCCGAGGGCTTAGTAAGAAAGATAGTGTCATGTGTAGAAGTTCAAACAGCTCATGACTTCCGATTTTATACTAAATGCCCGCTGGGTAGCCAACAAGCATGTGTTTGGAGGCGAGATGAAGTGAAAGGACGAACTCCCACAAAATGGCTTGAACGAGAGACTCCCCTTTGGATGACGACCCAAGCAAATGTTAAAAGGATCACGATTTGAGGGCATAAATCTGGAATTTCCGGCCCTTTAATTTGGAAAGTGCTCGCCCAGCTGGTTGATATTATAATAAAATTAAAGGCTGAAATCATCACCGTCCAAGAAGTGCGATGCATGTGACGAGTGCAGAAGAAGGTGGGTCTTTATGACATTCACTAAAGCGGTCATATGAAAGAACACTAATTTGGTGTCGGAATTCGTCATCGAGTATAGGCATTCATTCTGGTGGATGAATTTCGAAACCCAATAGACAGTAAAAGGGAAGCTTTTTAACAAGTCGCTTATTGGTGCACATGTCTCGATGGAAAAGAAGAACGATTTGACCAAGGACACTTTCTATGTGCGCCTGGAATACGCATATGAGCGCGACCTCAGCCACAATGAGATTATTGTGCTTGGCGTCTTTAACGCCAGGGTGGAGCAGAAGAAGAATCACACCTCTAGTACAATTGTCGGAAAATTGAGCTTTCACGACAAGATATCCCCAAATGTCCTGTTGCTGAAAATTCAGCCTTCACGACAGGATATCCCCAAATGTCCTGTTGCTGATCGATTTCACCCTAAATATGATTGTGTGTAGTACCAGATTTCCGCACGAAAGACATGTGTCCGCTGAACTCTGTGTAGAACTCATCGTACTCGATCATAACCTTCGGCAGTCTCCCTGCGGGTTGGGGGTTCAAGAATTTACCCGACTAAAATCCAATAGTTCCCGCGACAGTGGGGTCTTTATACTGGAACGACCCGGATTTTTATCGGACCAAGGAGGAGTGACAACTCCCGCAACTATCGCCAAAAAGAACTTTGGGGAATATGTTTGCGGTTACAACAACAACATAACCTTCCGCAAAATCTTCTCTCCAAAAACTTAGTATCGCTTCCAGGCGATGTTATTCAGCGTTAGTTAGCGCAGTCATAAATGTTTTGCGGGAA